AAACGCTTAAATGGCAGGTGCATTAGGTAGCATGGTTTTGCTTGCACATAATGGGAAATCTAAGTAAAACTTAGTAAACAATAAGGGATGTGTTGGCTCAGAAATTGAAAGATTCTAGAGGTTGGGAGCACTTTACATTTCATTTACATCAACAGGTCAGTGATGGTCAATGAACTCTCCATCTTTCTATCCCTATGGCTAAAGGCAGGTGTACGCTACTTTCTTAGGTCAATCAACACCTTGTGGAACTGAGGGTGGTGTCAGTTTTACCCAGATTACAAGGCTTCTGTGTACTAGTAGATGACTGATAAGGAGGAGAGAGAGAAATTCCTACTTTGTTGGAATGCCTACACTGAGAATCAGGGCTCAGAGAAAAGCAAGTATTGTTTATGATGTTGGCTTAAAGTTTGTTGCATTAATTTAGAGACACTGTTAGAGTCAAGACAGAGAAGGTGAGGAACATTCCCTTTCGTGCTCTGAAATCACTGAGTTAGAAAGGAGAGAAATGAAGACAGACATACAAGAGGATGGGAGACAGAATCTACAACTAAAAGTTTCTATGTTTTTGCAAATGTGCTTGAAGCCAACATGGTGGGCTAAGGAAGTATTTTCCACTTGGTGACTCAATCTATAATTTCACAAGAGAAAAATTCTCTCTCTGTTCTTAAGTCAAATGATTTTTCCCCCTCTCTTAAGAAAGTAAGTGTTTGCTGCTTTGGGAAAAACTGGCTAAAAGTCAAGCACTATTAAGCAAATTTCTGATGACTATATGCTCAATCTTGATTAGCATTGAGGCTTCTTGGTCTTGAAATTTGGTGGAAGAATAATCTGGAGCCTTACAAACCAGGTTGCTAAAGTCATTCTCCAAATTCTATAGGTGATTGGTGAGCTATTATATGTTCACCTCAGATAAACCTGGCCTGGGTTTTGGTACAATCTATCATTCTTTCGTGAGATAGGATTTCTGTGGAAGGTAGTTATGTTAAATACAACTTTAAAATAAAGAAATCCCATGCTATTCACTTCTGGTGGCCTGGTCAGAAATTTGTTAGGGCAAAAAACACAGACTCTGTGCTGCAAAACCTTTAGTTTGCTTAGTTTTCTTGTTCATTTGCTCTTTCTCAGTCTCTCTTTACTCCTTCCTTTCCTCCCTCCTTTCCTCCCTCTCGGTAGTAATGAAAAGTGATTCATGGAGGGGACTTAATTTAAATGAATTATATGCAAAGTTACTTTATGTAAAATGAATTTTTCCCCATAATACTGTATTTCCATCTCCACTTTATCATGGCCTTTTTATTTGAATTAATGCAATAATATTACCAAAGTCACCCTCCATTACACTACCGTTTGCCTTCACATTCAAGGCAACGATGTCATTTTCAGATGAAGCTATTTGTCCTTGTTAAAACAGACAAGGCAGTTGGTACATTCAGACTCAATTCCTAAGTTGCATGATTGACTCCAAGATAGTGCTGGGAGCTGAAGCAAATGAAAGTTTGCATTAACTCTTCAGTATGTTCTTTCTTCTGCTAGATCTGATAGGAGAATGAATGACTCATATCACCGGTCCTAAGAGGGAAGCAGAACAGAGTGGGCTCAGATTAGTTCCCCAGGAAACAGACTCTGAGACAGTTTAGGGTGCTGGATATTTATTAAGGAATGCCCTCAGGGTCAACACCTGGGGGAGAGAGAAAAAGGACTCTGGAGTGGGCTAAGGGCAAAAGTGAGGTGGATGCAGGCCCAGTGATGGCCGCTGCTGTCCCCATGGGGAGCTCTGGAGCTGGGAGAGCCCTTCAGTGTTGCACTGACTGAGCCAAGATGGCCAGGCCTTTGTACCACATCACTGCTCAGTTATTGGCATGGGCTGTCCTGGGAAGAGGCATGATGCCGAGTGAAGCAGCTCTTTGCAGCTAAGATAATCCCTGAAAAGGTTGCCAGTTGAAGGCTGTCTGCTAACTACACTCCTGGGTTCTAGGTCCTAGACTCGAGGGCAGTGATTCTCAACCAGGCATGGTTTCTCCCCCAGGGGACATTTGGCAATGTCTGGAAACATTTTTGATTATTACAACTGGAGGGATGCTACTAGCATTTACGAGTCGTGTCCAAAGATACTGCTAAATATCCTACAATGCACAGTAAAGCCTCCAAGAGCAAAGGATTATCTGGTACTAAGTATCAATAGTGCTGAGGTTGAGAAGTCCTGCTCTAGGGCAACAAGTCCCTCCTTGAAATGGAACCTGGTGGACATCACAGCATCCATTCCAGAAGTCATCATTACTACTTGTCAGACACAATGCTCTGTGTTTGTATTCCTCTTAATCCTCTTACAAACCCTTTGAGGCAGGTCTCATAGTTTCCATTTACTTATGGGGAAGCTGACTCTCAGGTCACTTAAGCAAACTGCCCCACATCATCAGCCAGGAATATACCAAGTGGGATTTACAGAGAGTGAGCCTGCTTGTTGAAAACATTGTGGTATCTTCTGGTTTCCCCTTTGAAAAGCCCAAAATATGCCCCTCTGGCATATTGACTATTTTGAATGAAAGACATTTAAAAAAGAGCAGGTGCAAGAAGAACATCCTGAACTTCCTTCTTAAAAGTGGGAGATGAAATTCCCACGTGAAAGATATCGTCCTTCTACCGGAAGGAAAGTATTCTCATCATCAAGGATGGAAAGTTGAGGCCAAGGGAAATCTCCACTGACAAACCTTGTTAAACTAATTCTTACCTTCCAAGTCACTTTTCCACACAATCAAGTACACTAGCCCATGCCCTCTGCCTCGCCACATTTTCACAGCTTACTACTCTTTGTCCAATTCCATAAGTGTTCAACTCTAACTGCATCTTTGAACCTTCATGAAGGCTCCAATGCCACATAAAACTTGTTTTAAATAATTTTTGTTAGTTTTCTCCTGTTGATCTGTCCTATGTCAATTTAATTCTGGGCCCCAGCTGAAAAATCCTAAGACGATAGAGGTAAAACTTTGCCTCTCCTACACCTGGATGGCTCGATGCAGCATTTCTCAAACCTTTCTTTTCCTCTAAACATGAGATGGATGATGCTCATTTGTTTAGTTTTCTCCCATGGAATTCCTGGGGATCAGGCCATAAATTCACACCTATCTCACTTAAAAGACACAATGGAACATGAGCAAGATGGCACAAATTATAGGAATGACCTCAATCCTCTCTAATTTGTATTTTTAAGTAGACCATTTCTCAATGCTGAGCACTTACCGCTAGTAACAAATTGCTTACAACGAGCTTACAGTTGATTTTCCTACTAAGAGTAAGACCTGTTGGTGTTGGTAGTCTTGGTGAATGCTTACAGAGAGACTACAATATTTTCAGAATTTGCTTTATACTATCCCTTCATATATAAATATTGTCATGTATAAATTCATATAAACAGTCCTATCATTAATTCCCACAGCACATTTCTATATGTGGGCATTATCATCTTCATTTTACAACTGAAAGTCTGTGTCATTAGATGATTGAATCATTCGAGAACATTCTTCAGATCTTATTGGCACTTCAACAGCCCTAGGAACCAAAGCATTAACTCATTAATTTAATTTAAAAAATAGCATCTACCGTGTTCCAGATACTGTCCTACTTTCTCATTGTAAACAGTGGCATTTACTAGTAAAGATTTCCCACCGGAGCAGAAAAAAAAGCATCTATCATTTTACAGACATACGTAGTTGAGTTTAACAGAGTCAATTATTACTTTCTCAGAAACAAAATCACATATATTTTTACCTTTTTAATGGGACATCGTGTACAGGGAATAGACATATAGTCTATAATCATGTTAAGGGAAATATTAATAAAATACAGTACACACTGAACCCAAAGATGTAAGGAAAAAGGACTTAGATATCTCCTCGATACTGACCTCAATAGTAATGTCCGTTATTATGGTCAGCAGCAGCTGCAGGTTTTAGATTCTAGCACAATATCAGTCTCTTTAAAAAAATTCTGTCATTAATTCCCATAGTGCATTTCTACGTGGAGGAAGTTATCATCTTCATTTTACAATGGAAAAATACAGACCAGAAATATGAGAACGAACTTGATTGAATGCACACAGAAATACATTGGCAGAGGATGTTGCCACACCCACAGCACTTTCTACAGTTAGAAAGCCTAATTTAGAGTAACACATACATTTGCATTTGTTCATTTTTTACCAATCAAATTCTTTAAACATTGCTCAGTAAAATATGACATAAGCAGAAGTGTGCCAGTAAATGTTTAAGGACTGACTCTCAAAAAAGCTTATGTATTGTATATGTCTATTTTAAATTTTGCCGACATAAAGAATGTGTATACAATGTACATATAAGAATAAAATATATACATCTTTATTATAAATTTAAATAGCTAATTAATTCTCATAGAATGCTTTTGTTGAATTTTACCTAAATTTTATATCTATACCCAGGCTGTGGTTTTAATTGTCCCATGACCTGGGGCATGCATGATGATGGATGTTTCCAGATTCAAGCCACCAATGCAGCATCATGTAACATGGGGCGGGGCAAATGCTCAGGAGACACTATTAGATAGTAATCCACCATACGCATGCAAGAGATGTAAATAATCTCAAAAGAATAAGTAGTATTAATAGTAAAAAATATGGCAAAGTAATTAGAAAGTGATGAGTTCTGACTATTGGTTATCTTTGCTTTGATATAATTTATTTCACTGTAGGCTTATGTAATTTAATTTCTTAATAATAACTGTTTAATAATTGGCTGATATGATTCCTGCAAACTTAGCAGTTGATTCTTACAAGTTGGAATAATTACTGGTATAGAACAGTTTTCAGTAATCAAATGTCCCCATTTCCGGAGTGTCTCCTACTCCAGTGCATAGCTCTGAGTACATAAGTACAGGGCATCCCATTATCAAGCAAAATAGATGTCAAGATAGACGATGGCAGGCAAAGTTGTTCTTTAAAATTTATTGTTATTTTTGTGGTTTATTCACAGGCATTTCCCTGCATCTCAACAGGCATTTATGGTAAGTGATATAGCTTTCCATGATATTTATGTTTCTTTATTTTGTTGTTAAATGCAGGGATTAAGTGAAAAAATAAGAGGTTTTCTGATTAATATATTTTGCTGTGATTTAAAGAGACTCAAAATACAGGTCAAATCCCATTAAGGAATTTCAAGAGGCTATTCATATTCCTTTGTGTTCTTGAATTTTGTTGTATTGGATATCACGTGAAATGATTTGATACACGGTGGCTTGATGTCAGTTGTTTTGGTTATAGTAGGATTGACTATTAATATTGTTTTCTTTAATAAAGTCAAGTTATCTCTCTCAGAAAAAGCACAGTGTATATAGCATTATCAGTAGCTTAGCATTGTCATTAAATGTCATTATTTGTTGCAACTTACAAGGTAATAGAAATATTTAAATGCATACAAAGACATATCTGTGTCTTCTTTTTTAAAAAATCCAAAGAAGGTGACTGCTAATTAAAACAGAGAATTTCAATAAACTGCAAATATTTTTTCTTGATTTTGATGGATTGTTTTAAGTAGTGAGTGTTTCACTTATAGATGGAAGCAAAATGTTTTTTAATCACTTGTTTTCACTAGCCTAAACCTCTAATAATCTTCCACCTATAAGAACATATCTCATAATATTTTTCAGCAACTAATGAGTCTCTTTGAGAGTATTAACGTAAAGTGGAATGTATTTGTAATTTTAGGGTTTTATTTTTTTTGTAGTTTTTATTTTTATTTTTTATTCTTTAATATATTTTATAGTATATTTTAAATTATACAAGATTTTTTTGTTTTTCAAATTATAATGTATTTTTTCACTTTTATGGCTAAAAGATATATATTTTTTTAATTTCAAAATTTCTATGGGTATACAAACACTGGGTTTACATCTATTGCATTTGTACCACCTGAGTCAGAGCTACAAGCATGCCCATCCCAGACCATGTACAGTGCACCCATTAGGTATGAATGTAACTTACCGGCCCCCACCTGCCCAACCCACAATGAATGTTACTTCCATATGTGCACATAAATGTTGATTAATTAGTACCAATTTGATGTGGTGCTTGTTTTTCCATTCTTGTGATACTTCACTTAGTAGAATGGGCTCTAGCTCCATCCAAGGTAATACAAGAGGTGCTAGATCACCATTGTTTTTTTGTGGCTGAATATTGTTTTTTTGTGGTATATATATGCCACATTTTATTAATCCATTCATGTATTGATGGGCACTTGGGTTGTTTCCACATCTTTGCAATTGTGAATTGTGCTGCTATAAACATTCGGGTACAATTGTCTTTATCATAGAATGTCTTTTTTTCCTTCAAGTACATGCCTGGTTTATCTTCCTATCTCTCCGCATCCATACCAACATTTGTTGTTTTGAGACTTTTAGATAAAAAGCCATTCTCGCTGAAGATAAGTGATATCTCATTGTGGTTTTGATTTGCATTTTCCTGATGGTTAGATGTTGAGCATTTTTTCATATGTTTGTTGGCTATTAGTCTATCTTATTTTGAAATTCTGTCCATGTCCTTTGCCCAATTTTCAATGGAGTTTTTTTATTTTTTCTTACTGATTTTCCTGAGGTCTATATAAATTCTAGTTATTAGCCCTTTGTCAGATGTATAGCATGCAAATATTTTCTTCCATTCTGTAGGTTGTCTGTTTGCTCTAATGATAGTTTCTTTGGCTATGCAGAAGCTTTTTAATTTGATCAGGTTCCATTTATTTATTTTTATTGATGCTTTGATTGCTTTTGGAGTCTTCCTCAAACATTTTAGGGTTTCCTGATTCAAGTAAACTAGATTACTTTTTTTCTGAATTTAAACTTCTCATGTGGAGGCTCTCAGCTGGAAAATAAAATATATAAATAAAAAAAAAGGTTAAAAGCAATAACAAAAAGGAAGGGGAACCAAAATGAAAACAAAAGGAACAAAATTAATTTTCCCTAAACCGGGAATTCCTTTGAAAGGCCTGGGCAAAAAAAAAAGGAAAAAGGAAGCCCGAAACAAAACAAACGGAAAAAGAATTGGGAAAAACAATTAAAAAAGGAAGGCCCCCCCCCCTCCAACCCAAAATCCCCCAAAAGGTATTTCTGTAGAAACAGAGTGGACACTGGGCTGGAGGCGGCTAACCTAGACCATCTGCACAATTATCCCCACCATGGCCATTCTTTCTGCCTCACAAATGCCCAGCTAGAAATTAAATATTTGCTTAAGGAAGCATTATGTGCAAAGTTTTGCCTGGTAAAGATCCCAACTCTTTATTTTGCTTTATCTAGAGTCAAACCAGACTCCATTGCAGAAATGGTTTTTATTTTGAGCATGTTCTTTCATCCCATCTTGATTTTCCTTGACAAACAAACAGAAACCCAACGGCTTAAATGATACTGTGCACATCATTTTCTATGTTTATTACCTTGTCAGATGGTTGATGTCTATTTTGTTTCTGAGAATCTAATGGTAATGTGCAAAGAACTTCAAAAGGGCAGTTGATCTAATATGATATACTAAAAAAAGAGAGTGGTGGCAGAGAAAACCAGAAAAGTAAAGGAAGATAAGAAAAAAACATAAAATTGGACGTCCCAGAGTGGATAGTAAGAACTAACTCAAATCTGAAGTGAATCATGGTCAATTTCAATCCCATGAGGGCAAGGGTTTCACCCTAAGGAGAGTAGTATGGCTCAAACTATAACAGCTAGTTCAGGACTCTATTGTGGCAAATGAGAGGCAAACATTGAAAACTGTCAGGTAGAGCATTAATAGAGTGAGTCACAGTAAGGTGGCATGGAGGGCTGTCACCATGCCAGCTTAGTCATTTTCACAATGCTAGGTCAAAGAATGTATTTCTTAAGTCCCGGCTACTTTTCTCTTTCCCCTCTATATTTGGGCAAATTTAAAAGTGAGGCTGATACCTACAAGGTCATGTCCCACGTTGCCTTTGGTTAGCCCGAATGGATGCCGAGACCGACGTTGGCTTTTAGCTCCATAACATCTTAAGTAACTTTTCGATTACTCTAAGCCTCTGTAGTTTATGAACCATTCTGCATTATGCAACCCGGAAATTATTTCACTTGTCCCTTGTGAAGTTAAAGCTTTCTTTTGAGTCCTTAGTTCCTTCCCAGGACTCATACATTATCCTGCAGAGTTGTTTACTTGCAGTTATTTAGAGCCCTGCTCCTCCTCCTCCATTAACCAAATAAGTTTTACTTTTATCATTATTTATCAGGATTTGAGATAATACTTTAAAGAAAGTGGTCTACAAGTAAAAAGAAAAATTTTAAAAAGCAAGCAAACACAACACCCGATGGTTTTGTAAATCATGCTTTAGTGGATTTAGAGCAATTTTTCAGAGTAGTCTCCTGGTTCCACTCCTTGCCCTTCCTATTCCTTATTCCAAATGTTGGTAGACTAATTTGTCTGAAATACCACTTGGTGCATGTTTCCCATCTGCTCGGGAGCCTTTGATCATATTCCATTACTTGCAGGTTAAGGTTCATTCTTCCTAGCCTGAACAATGGATACTTTATATACATTTCTAAACTAGTGCTTTCAAAATTTGTGAGAGTGAGGACAAAAAAAAAAAAATCTGCCCTCAAGGATGTGAATTTCTGTGCTAAGAAATTTACATACACCTTTGACTTTGCATCTTTCAAGGGAGAATTTAGTTTGCAGCATTTCTCAAAGTTATTTGCCCATGAAAGTGATTATTTTCTCAATCTTTCTCTGGACTAGTGTTTTCTTCAGAATGTAGTTTGAGAAACTTTTTGGCACCACGCATCACGAGCATATCTTCTGTGACCTACACATGATCTGATGACTCTCAGAACATGTCATATGTATAAAAAGGTCCAATCCTGGGTCTCTTCCTCTCTTACATCCTTGCACACACACCAAATTCACACACACCATCACCACCACCACTCTCTACCCCACGCCCCAAATAAAACACACCGTGCATATTTAAACAGGTTGAAACTTAATCTCCAAGAAGTCTTCCCTGAGTATGCCAACCCGTGGTGGTCATTATATCTTGTGAAATCCTTCAGCATTTGCACCTGGACATATTTATCAACTGCTTTCTCATATTACTCCATAGATTTTTGCTTATATATTCTGTGCTCTCAGCCAGTTTGGAACTGAAAGACCAGGGATTCACTTGTGTGCATTCCTTGTACTCCCAGTGCCTAGCACTGTGTCTATAGGACAAGCTAGCAAATATTTGCTGTTATGGCAATGATAGTAATTGTAACCCAAATTGTTGCCTAATTAAAGATATACAAAACAGAATTGTTAATTGGCAAAATAACAGAGACAGCTATTCAGTTGATAATTTTTAATGAGCAAACATCTCTATTCTAGGGAAAACAAATGTGTTTCTTAAAAGCACCCTCAAAGCTGGAATTGGTATTTGTGGGCATGGCAGTGTCCACACTGACAAAGGTAAAATGGAAACTTGAGAAATTATTCAGTTAGAGAGCCAAGCTGAACAGAGCACTTTACTTCAATTAAGTGAAAACCAATTTGGGGTTTATGATGGTCCCTGGGACAGTGGTTAATCAGGAACATACTGGTCTGCTGGCCAGCCATGAGAGGCCCTATTCTGACATCTCCCAGCATGCCCTAGACCCACCTTCCCAGCAGCTGTAATTTCTCAGACACCTGTCTGCTTTGGCTTTACCTTCACATTTAAATTTTCTGGCCCACAAATCTATAGTAACCCTAGTTCCACTAGAACAAAATTTTGAGGATGGTGGAACTATCTTTTGTAGGGATTTGATCATTTCTTCACCAAGATGATCTCCCCCCAGGGTCATTTCAAGCATGAGCATTCCCATTTTCTGGGGACTCAGACATTACCACCACATTCAAAGTGTGCCTGCAGCATCTGACCCACCACCTGTACTTTGGGGATATGCAGAGTCACAGCAGAAGCTGAATCTTCTCGTAGCCTTTCTTCCACTGCTCAGCCTTGTGGAGACAAATGCACCAATGCAGCAAC